AACCACGCGTTTTTTAAAGTTATTGATCTTTTTTGAAAACTTTTACGGTGCCCGCTACATTTTTTCCTGTCACCTCCCCTGTAAGTAAAACATTTGCGTTTTTCGCGCTTGTTTTGTGCGCGCACTTCGCCATCTGCAGGTACATGTTTACAGTTGGATTTCAGTGTAATTTTCGACAGATTACAGATAGGTTTTCAGCTGGAAGACGTTAACATTAAGTGGTTTGCGATACGCTGCTATCTTGGTGTTCCTGGTTTAAGTACGGGTTCATTAAACTTGATTTGGTCACAGTAGAAAAAATTTTGCTTTCTAAACTATTACTTTTCGACACTCAGATGAAAACCGCTCTAATTGGTTTGGTTTTGGTTTTACGACACTCAATTGAAGTTAAATTAAATCTTAGAATAAAATACATATAGTCGAACCCGAGGCCTTGGCACTATCGAAAGACTAACAACCAGAAACAGTGGGTATTTTTTTAGAATATATGCTGATTTTCAAAACAGTTACTGGAAATTAACCATTTCATATATGCCCTGTGGAATAGATTGCGCTGCAGTTTTAGAGTTTGCTTTATGATACACAAAAGAACGTCCCACAGAAAAGAAAACCTTTTCGGTCAATCACCTATCCGCCAGTCTGAAACCACAGTCGAGTAATTTTTAACGTCTAATTCGATTACGTGGTTTACAACTGTATATTGCGTTGTTTTATATCAATTTCATAGTGAATAACTTGCTACATTTATCGATTACTAGTGTTACGTTGCATCCCAATTGTTAAAATAAGATCCCCCAAAACACACAAACTGAAATCGTCAATCCATAAAATTAAACCCCCGCAAAAACTCTTTTTACCACGCGATACTCGGTATATACTAGTTATCCGGCAACGCTTTCGAGTGGTATACCATTGAACATCCCACGAGTCAATTGTATTTTCTCGATAAACACACGGGCCTTTCGGCGAGTGTGCATACCAGTAAAATAGAAGTGGCAAGTGGGATATTCCATGATATACAACTCGAAAGTGTTGAATAACTATTTTGTACCACGCCAAAGAAAATACAGTGGAAACCCAATAAATGCGACACACGCGTGGCGCACGATGTAAAGGTTGGGTGTAATACCATCGAATATACAACGGCTTTCCTGTATTCTGATTGGCCGTATTTTCTATGGCATGGTATAAATCACAGTATGTTGAGAGCAGATTACTCAGTGTTCACTGCAACTAACCTCATGTGAGATTCAGTGTAGGTACGACGAGGAATAGCCAAGCGAAACAACTCCTCATGTTCCTCTTCTTCAGATTCAAACACCTCATCATTCTCAACAGTATCATCTTCGTTTTCCGCATTTTCTCCCTCAGAGGAGGTCCCCACGCCATTTCCGGGCCTTCCTAACATCACCCCACCAACTTCCGCCCCTCGAATGCCACCCTCGACATAAAGAGCGCAGCCGAGAGCCCACGCGGGAAACTTTTCCCGGGGTATGTGAGGAAGCATCGCGCCAGCGTCGATGTACACCGCGTGACCGCCGGGTGGCGTGACAATTGGGACTTGGTTCTGCACGAGTAAGTCCGCCAAAAATTTGACGAATCCGACTTGATACCTTAAGTACTCCTCTTCTACGACCTCGTTCAATCCGACGGCGATCGCTTCAAGATCCCTCCCGGCAAGCCCGCCATAAGTTGTAAACCCCTCGGTGATCAAGAGTTCCTTGCGGCATTTCGCGGCGAGTTCGCCGTCGTTCATTGCCAAAAATCCCCCGATGTTAGCCAGCCCGTCTTTTTTAGCTGACATGGTGCAGCCGTCACCGTAGGAGAAAATTTCTCGCGCAATCTCTTTAGGCGTGCGATTGGCGTATCCCTCTTCTTTGATCTTGATGAACCAGGCGTTTTCAGCAAAACGGCAAGCATCGAAGAAAAGTGGAATTCCATGAGCTCGGCAGAGTTTTGAAACCGCTTTGATGTTCTCCATGCTCACGGGCTCGCCTCCCACCATGTTATTTGTTATGGTGATCATGACCAGCGGAATCCTGGCTCGACAAGTGGACAGTTTTTCCTCAAGCTTCTCGACATTCATGTTCCCTTTAAATGGAACATCTTTACTTGGCTCCATTGCTTCAGGTGTCAAAAAATTGATTGCCTTGCCTCCTTGCGCTTCAATGTTGGCCAAAGTGGTGGCAAAATGGGCGTTGTTAGGCACCATATCTCCTTCTGTCACAGAGCACCGGAAAAGAATGCGCTCAGCGGCGCGACCCTGGTGTGTAGGGATCACGTGACGGTATCCAAAGATCTCCTTGACAACTTGCTCAAACTTCCGGTAACTCGGGGAGCCTGCGTACGATTCGTCCCCAAGCATGACGGCGGCCCATTGTTGCGAACTCATCGCCCCAGTCCCCGAATCTGTTAGCAGGTCAATCATGATGTTCTCCGAGTCCAAGAGGTACAAGTTGTAGTTGGCTTGTTTCAGGCACTTGATTCTCTCGTCTCGCGTTGTTTGTTTGATTTTCTCCACAGATTTGATCCTGAACGGCTCGTAAAACGTCGTAAATTTGTGCTCTTGCATGATGCTGAAGGATGCTTTCTTCAAACTGAAACAAAATAAATAATAAACTGCTTAAGTTGTGTGTATAACTGCGATGATCAGTCACGTCTTAATGAAAATAAATAAAATTACATACAGTCAAACCTCCCGGAAGCGACCACCCAAAATGTCAAGCTGAGGTGGTCGCTTAGGAGAGATGGTCGCTTACGAGAGCTTAGACCATTTTGGCACAAAATTTTGCCTCATTAGCATATGGTAACTGCAGAGACTTACCATATGTTTTAAACGTTTTAATTCACAAGTCAATTTCAAGAAAAACATTTGATACTTTCCATTGCGAAATTTCCGTTTCCTGCACTATCCAGGAATGCGATAATGTTACAACACTTTAAATCCAATTTCCACTCTATTATCTGTCAAGGGGTCGCTTACAGGAGGTTAAAAACAGAAGACCATTTCAAACTTTTAGTTCTGAAAGTGGTCGCAGTCGCTTACGAGAGGGGTCGCTTCCAAGAGATTCCAAATATAGTGATTTGACTTGAAAACTTTTGTTATTTTGGAAAACTGGTCGCTGAGGAGAGGTGGTCGCTTACGAGAGGTGGTCGCAACCGGAGGTTGGACTGTATGGATCGATCTTCACTGATATTGAAATGTCAGTGCTTTGTGACTACAGTGCCAGCCTGTTAGGTTTTCAATGATTCCAAACTAGCTTTCGAAAACCTCACAAAATTATGTCATGACGTCACTGTTAACGATAGAGTCCAGGCTACCCTTCCACGCCAGAGAACGCTTAGGGCCCAAGTTGAAATGTTCTCAGTCTTAGAGAAAAGAGACTATGATCACAGTTTCTTGTTAGAGCCAAGACTGACGAAGTTGAAGAATGGATTGTGGCACCGAACCGAGGCTTGAGCGTAATGTTAGTTAATGTTCTTTGCGACAGGCATTTCCCTCACTCTACTGGTTGAACATGCGCAGAAAAGATGGCGTGAACTTTGTGGGTCCAGAATGCAAGAGGTAATAAATAATCATGTTATTTGGCTCCTATTTTGACCATTCAGTGACACGTACTCTATAACTGGGTAGTTTTGTATTTGGTCTATCTTGTTTACATTGTCTCGTGTAATTTCATGGAAGATTTTTTGAACTGTTTCCTTTTTGAATACTGAACGAGGTAAGGCTTCGCGCCTCAACGAGGGTAGAGTGGATGAAACGAGGGTAGGGTGGGTGAAACGAACACTAGTACAAGAGGTAAACAGGTTTATTTCGTCAAAAGCTTTATAATATAGCTGATTAATACTGCTTTTTATCTATAGATATTTGGTTTTTTATTGCTTTTACTAGACTCCATTTAAGAAGAGGTATGCAAACAAACAAACAAAAAACAAGAAACTCAACTCAAACCCTGGACTGAAACCAAACAAAACAAATTAAAAAAAAGAAATTTCACAGCGAGTTGGTCATTTTGGGGTTAAGCATTTGAAGTATTTGCTGGAGGTCAAGAATTATTACCGAATCTGCTTATACAGCTTATCGAATGGCATCCTTTTATCAGAAAATCTTTTTCTTTTGCATTTTACCTGCAGAATTCTCAGAACGAAAGCTAAACAAGAGTCATTTCAAAAGAACGGAAGTGCTTCAAACGGAAGTGGACCTATCCCAGTTGGGTTCCAATTAGAGACAATGCCATACCATGCATTTATGTCTTTGTAATGATTGTCATTTGTGAGGGTTAAAGCAAACAATGGCTCTTGTTGCCGATGAAAAGCACACCGCCGCTGTTTTTTCAACTTTCACTTACCGGTAGCTTTTACGACATTGCGCAATAATTACTGGATAGTTTCGAACGTTATTGTTTTAAAAGCATGACACTGGCAAGTTCTTTGTATCTCTTCAAAGAGTGATCCACTGTTGAAATATTGGGAAGGTTTACAAACCGGGACCGAAGAAGATGTCTACTTCATCGAACTCCCGGGATTCAACTCTGTATGTTGTCTTTCTGAACTGATTTTTGCGTCTTCATAGAAACCCTTCATAGTTACAGTATTACGTCATCTATATGTCAAATTGGAAGGAGCAGTAAAGCTTATAATGTTTCAGCTGCATTGATAGAATGGTGTTTATATAAAAAGGACAAACAAGCAAATACAACAGTATATATGAACGTAAAAGGCATATACCGTGTTTCGGGGGGTCGTCGATCTCAGCGGAGGACAATCAAAATTATGATATTAGAAGTTTTCCTACCTTGGTACAAGCTACAACGCTAGCTTTACCTTCAATGACCTGGCTAGTTTCTTTCCAAACCGGAATCTCTTTCACAATACCGCTTGTCTGTAAATTGAGCGTTCTAAATTGGTATTTTACAATAACTGTCTAATTTCTCGTGTGCTGATTGGCTCATCTTTATCATCAATAAGAGTGCAGACAAATAAAATTTTAATTTATGCAAGATTTCAAGTTCAATTTTCAGCTGTCAAACTGTTAACTTTTCAACCAATGAGATTTTATGGACTTATTTAAGTAGCCAATCAAAATGCGAGGAAAGCTATTGACAATGTTTACGTCATTTTGAATAAAACTCATTCTCTTTGTTTACAGCAAGTTTACGGCGTCTTTTCCCCTTATTTATTCATGGCATTTGACCATTTTGGGGTCTTGTTATTGTAAAAAACAAATTGACATCAGTTTTTTATGCATCTGTCCTCTTAGTGATGATAAATTGCATCATAACAATGTCCATGTGGTTCTGCAGTAAACAAACAAACAAAAAAAATTACTCAGGTTGATGATTCATCACATAAAATGTGGCAGATATGCTCGTATGTGCCATTTTTTTTGGGGGGGGGGGGGGGGGGGGAATTTTAAGCTTGTACGATTTTCTTTTNGGGGTGGGATTAAGCAGCCCCACCTTGTTCCCATGTATCTCTGCTGTCCAAAGTCATTACTTGGAACTATTGACAAATATTTGTTGTGCTGTCTACACTATCAACAATATTTGTCACATAGATTGTCCACCCCTTCTAGCTCCTTCTCCTCTTCACCCACCACGTGACTTTGTGATCACAAATGCACCCAGGAAGCAGGAAATAAAATCTCAGAGAGCCCAGCAATTTGTTTTCAGAAGGGGGCAGTGGAAATGGTCCTGAACCTCTTGAGGTGCTTCATGGTGAAAAGTTGCATATATAACCAGACCTTTCCCTGGGTCTTAACCTGAAAGTATGTTCAAAATACCCTTAGTTGACCAAGAAAAAGATATTACCTCTAATTTTGTAGTATCCAGATGTCTGCGGCGCACTCGCGCGCACTCACTCTTTATTGCGTAATATGTTACACGCATGCGCATGATCGGGTTCTGCACGAGGTTGCGTAGTAATTTTCGGTATCTTCCCTGTAAAAAAAAATTTCCTCCTTCAAATCTTTTTCGAAAATGGACTACGGAGGTAAAGCAGGTGACTATTCAGCGCAAGATCCAAGCACCGGGTATTCCGGTAAGTTAAGAAATCAAATTGTCGTGTTGCCTCGATGGAAACGATCGCCGATGTTAGTGAATGTGTGTTCTTGCACGAACAGTATTTTTGTCATACAGTCATATTTGCACTTAGTACCTGTGTAAACCGTCTGTTTTACAGTTATTTTTGAGTAAAGAATTATTCGTGNGCTATAGGCAATTACACTAATTAGCAATTAGATTAATGAGCTCGAGATTTCTATGAGGTGATAGTTGATGAGACTGAAGGCCGAATCAACTATCTTTGTTTTAATCTTTGTTTTAGTAGAATTCTTACGAAAATTTACTTCAAATAACGATTTCCAATTATCTCTTGAGGTATTATTAAACTTTGCGCCTGAGAAAGATCGCTCGGATTGAATTGTCATTTACAATTGAAGTTGTGTGTGTACGCATCCTTCGTTTGGACTTTTCAGGAATTTAATTGTCCATTTGCATTAAAATTTGCCTCCAAAACTTTGGAAACACGATAAAAACATCGCCATTGTCTAGGCAACCTCCAGCCACTGTACACTAATGGCTGATGGTGTTCAATGGCTCAGCCAATCAGATTACAGCATTTGCCTTAGTATACTAGTTGAATTCTACTAATTAAAGATAAAGATTAAAGGTGTTGAATTCAAATTTTATGATGAGGATCCTCAACCTTTTTCCATCAAAGCCCCCTCACCCCCAGGCAATTAGACATTATTTTAATGTTTTTTAACTTTTGACTTAACTTTCAGGGGGGAGCAGAGTTTGTTTTTCCCACAGACAGTAAAAAGAAGAGAAGCTGGGGTGAACAAATGTTTTCTGGAATTGGAACTTCGTATATGTGTGGTATGTTTCTACAACCTTTTCAGATTTACATTGCGTATTTAGTGTAATTAATTTGACATTACTTTTTAGAATGACATGTAACAATTGTATGTGTTGAACAGGGCAGCACATGTACAAAAAAATTCTTTACAGCAGCTGAAGTTGTTTGGAATTTCTGTTTTCCATAATTTTGGCAACCTAAGCTATTAGTATTTTTTTTTTCACTCATTTAAGGTTTGGCTGTTGGAGGAACCTGGGGTCTCTATGAAGGTCTACGAAATCCAGATGGAAAAACTATGAAGCTCAGAGTAAACAGGTCTCACCTACAGTTCATTTGTATTTTGCCTTAATCAAAAAATGATCAAATAGAAGTTTTTCATTTCTTGGTTTTATTAGCCCTTTCTTGCTATCCAGATGTATTTTAGATTTGGACTACTCACTCGGTGAGGGAATCGTTTCACGTCCATGTCTAATATGATGACTTGAACAAAACGAAAACCTGATACAATGGTCAGCGAATTTGCAAAAAGTCTAACAGGAAGTGAAGGAAGGATCAAGTGAATCTCCTATCCATAACTACAACTCAGATTTTCCTAGTTAAAAAGTGTTATCATTGGATACATCAATAGTTGAGAGTGTTTCCTTAAGACTTAATTATCTATTTTTTTTGTTTTGTCTTCTAGTGTGTTGAACGGCTGTACAAGAAGGGGTCCATCTTTAGGAAACAGTTTAGGAGTTCTAGGTAAGGAAAAGCATAGCTTGCTGCTTTAAGGAGGTACATGTGAGCTAGTAATGTAAAGTTAGGTAATTAATTATAGTAAACCAGTCGCAGTGCAGTACCCTAGGCATCAGGTTGTAAACACCTCTGTATTTGCCCTCATACCTTTAGTGTCTTCAGCTAAGACACTTGTGTGTGTTACGTGTCACCATAATCTCTATCTTGATTGTGTATTGGTCTGACAACAGGATAAAGACTATCTAGTCATCCTGGGGCAGGGGTAGTTGGGCTTTTTGGGTGTGTAGGTAGCTTGTCAAACCAATACTGTGCCTGGTGTTGTGGACAGGGGATGCTGGCATCAGTAGGGGGCATGCTTGCCCTGGCTTTGCTGGCCTGCCTACAATATCAGAGGCTCTAGTATGACACCCCAGCCATGAGACTTACATGTAACACTTCCCTGATGGGTACTGGCAAACTGTCAGGGGTAGGGAATGCTACTTTTAATGTATTAAAATTGAAATTGGCAGGGAGGCAAACAACAGAGATGAATAAATAGGTCCCCTCAGTTTCCTTGGTTTTTGAAAAGCCTGATTGTCAGCAATGCTGGGAGGTTGCCTAAATCAAACAGGTGCCATGTATGTAAGGACTTCCCAAAGTGAGCTTTAATAATGAGCTGACTGTATAATACCTGTTTTATTAACAGCCCTGATGTACTGCAGTCTGGATACATTAATCGGCAAGTTACGAGGAGGAGAAGAGGATGAATTTAACTCGGTGGGGGCTGCTACCCTTACAGGCATGATATTCAAATCAACGGCTGGTCTACGACCCATCGCTATTGCGGGAGCCTTGGGTGGCGGACTTGCGACAGCATATCATTTTGGAGAGAAGCTATTGAATAGCAGAGGACACTCAATTTCGACACCTAACTGGGCGTGAACTGTGTCAAACATGCTCGCTTACAACCTTCAGGACAGCATGCCGTGTGAAATTTAAAAGAGGAGAGACCTTTATGTTTGCTTGTAAAGTTGCAATTATTGGTGGGTATCTCTTCCAAGAAAGTTAAAGGTTGAAGTTTTATAGAGGACAAGACCTAGAACTTTACCAAGCCAATGGAGAACTGGAAATGGTTGCATAGATACAACATGAGTGTTGTTCATGCACGTAGTGTGCTTTCACACAACCAGGCTGTTAAAGTTGAGCCCTCCGATGTTGTACAGAAAGACGATTCCTGGGTTTTAAAATGTAATATTATGATAATAATAAAGTTTGAATTACAATAATTTCCATTTGAGCAGTCCAAATGCAATGCTAGTAAAATAATCACAGTAGCAAATGTGTGGAACTTGGATAAATAATGTAACCTGACCATTTGCCAATGAAAAAATTGTGCAGGTACATCTTCCCTAATTAGGTATGAGCTCATCCCTATTCAATCTTCTTGTATAGATTTCCTGACCAGTGGCAGATGCAGACCTTGAGCTAAGGGGTGCCGGGTGGGGGNGCAAGGGGGGGCCACCCCCCAGACCCCTCCCCTAGATCTGCCACTGCTGACAACCTGCACAGCTCTGCACTTCAAATGTAGACAATACGTTTGCAAGTAGAATGCAGCGTAGAGCATTATTTTATATTTTTACACTGTCAGCATGTACTACATCCTGAGAGCCTTACAGTTTTCTTGCCAGTTGGTCTCCAGATAGTTCTAAGGATTCTCGCATATGACATGATTTCTGCCATGTTGGTGGCCTTCCACACAAGTTTGGCAAGAGTTACAAGCATCGGGATCATGTGTCGGGTCAATATATCAGTGGATACTTCAGTCGACTATCGACCGGCTATTGGTCGAGAGTCCATCGATACTCGACCAGTGGTCAGTAGATAGTCGGTTCAGATTTATTATTGCACACCGTTTAGAGAAAACAACTTAACATAAGATGGTTTACAATGATACAGAAAAAAAAAATACAAATAGAAATTAACTAGAAGAAACTATTTAGTTCTGTTCCCCTGGTTCTGTACAGTGACCAAAGTACCCGATGAGCTTTCGAGTTGGTCACTGTCATGCAGATATAAGTTGGCGTTGGCCGCATGTTAACTATAATTTGATTTATAATCCATCAAACATTTTTGCTCGCGCGCGACTGGTCTAAACACGTCACGTGACTGAATATTCTCTAGCTAAAACTGGGGAATATCCAAGTGGTATTCCCCAGTTTTCAAAACCACGCGTGTTGCGAAAAATATTTGAAGGATAATAAACACAGCAGCCATTTGCCGCGAAAATATGCTCAGATATTTGTCCCTGGACATTATCTGTTCCTCATAGCTCACAGTTTTCCTCGAGCTACGCTCTCGGAAAAGATAACGTCCAAGGACAAATATTCGAGCATATTTCCGGGCCAAATGGAGGCCATTGTTTATATATTGATCGATTTGATATGTTTATGATCGATATATATCGTTCGACGGTCGGTCGATGTATCGATACTTCAATGATATTTCAACACTTCACCGATACTTAACCGAGAAAATGTCGACTATCCCCAGCCAAAACGAGGGTGTGATATCACTCATTTACAAAAAATACAAAAAAACCTGCATCTGAACTCGAGAACGGAGTTTACCACGCTAGCAATGCTAGAACGCATGCGTCTTACATGTTATGTTCTACCACAAGGGAAAGCACTCAACGTTCGTGGGTAGTTCCGTATGAAATGTATCTTTCACCTAACATATAGTCGACGTTGACGCTAACTTGCGCATGCTTTGGAGCAAATTGCTTTTGTTCTTAAAACAATGGCACCACAAGGATAGCATGAGATTTGCAAAACCATATATATATTTTTGTCATGTTACTAAAGAAAGCAACGTAAATATGATAGGTTTTGCGTAATGCATTCGGATACCTACCCCACCCAACTCCCCTTCCCGCAAGGCTAATTGATTAATTGAAATTAATTACAGTAAATGGTTTGAACCCAGGAGTAGAAGTTTGGTCTCCTGCTAGTGTCAATTTGAGAACAATCTTAGAAAGAGTCCAGAGGCGCGCGACTCGCTGGATACTAAGAACTAGAATCGGCGAGATGTCCTACAAACAACGATTGCTGACTCTTCGCTTGTTACCACTAACATATGACAGGGAACTGAGA